TATCGCTTGCTCCAAAGAAAAAGAAGAACTAAAATTTTTTCTGGGCTGCTTTAGTTTGGACAAAGGCAGCGAGAAACTCATGTGTCTTCGAAAATATGCGTGTTTGCTCATATGCCGATATGTACATATACATATACATATATATGAATTACCAGCTCCAGTTCGGCTGAGACAAAAGTAAAGTACCTCGCCATGCTGCGCTATAAAATGCGAAATAAAAATTATAAAAAAAATAAAAAAAATAAAAATCGCGAGCAATACAAAGTAAGCCAAAGGCCTGCCTATCTGTCAGATACGCTTCTCGTCTCGATACACGTTTTATGCCAAGAAAGGCGGCCGTACAACCATCCAGTCAGTCAGTTAGTCACTCAATTCGGCAGTGTGGCTGGGCGGCCTGCTGCTTTCGTTTTCTTGCTCTGTTCATAGAGTTTGGTGGTACGGCGTCACAACGTGTTGTGAAGTGAGTTTTTGCACGCTTTTGTTTCGTCTCCTCCTAGTCCTCCGCCTACCTCATGGCCTTTTGCATTACAGTCTTGGTTTGACTTCTTCGAACTTGCTCTATTTGTTTTGTATGTACAATGTTTNCCCTCCGCCTACCTCATGGCCTTTTGCATTACAGTCTTGTGTGGTTTGACTTCTTCGAACTTGCTCTATTTGTTTTGTATGTACAATGTTTTAAGATACATTTTATGAGATATTTTAGCGAATACAAATTTCGCGTTGCATTTGTGGAGAAGAATCTACATACTACATACATATGTATGTATGAATTTATATGCGCAGTGCATCAAGGAATATTGTCTACTCTAAATATAGTTCACAGGTTTCCATATGAGCGATGCGATGCCATTTGCGCTTCATTTTTAAAAACAGTTTAAGGAAGGGTGTTTCAATACATTATTAAAAAAATGGTTTATGTGGAAATAATGCCCTAGTAATTGCATATAATATATTAATTTAATATTATTATAGCATTTGAGGAGTTCCTATAATTTTATGGGAAGCTTAGTGCCGTATTTTTCAAACAAATACGGGTTTGCTACACCTGATGTGTGGTGTTTTAAGTAAATTTTATGTTGCCATAATTTTTATAGTAACTTAAAGTTAAGAAATTTTAATTTTTTTTTTAATTTTTATTAGTGTTGAGGTTATTCGAGCGCATCATTCTACAAACAGGCCACAGAGATTAGGTGCAGCAAGTGCTTTAAAACGGCTTACACAATAGAGAGCAATTGTTTTAATTTTTGCACTGCGTTTGTTGAGCTGACAAACAACCCATCTATCCAGCGGTAGTATACAGGTATTCTCATTCTTTGCTTTCTTGGTGAGACCATCTCGAGGCTACTCATTGAACTTAGCTATCTCATCTGCCGTACAGTTTGCTGCGAAATTAGTGTGGTCTGGTGCAAGTACAGTACCTTCCTAGTGTAACTTATGGAGAGGTTAAGCATTTCACGGCTGAGTGAACCCCACGATCCAGAAAATAAAGGTCGCGCCATTCGCGGACCGCTAACCCTCTCTTCGTCGATTTGACAGCATCCACCCCATCGCTGACGTCATAAAATACTTTTGTTTACATTCAATTTTGCCAACTTGATGCTTTTCGCGTCAAATTTAGTGGGTATTCAAAACGCGAAAATTTTTGAGTTTGGTGCTTGGTGCGTTTTTGGTGCTTTTGTTTTTAGTTTGAAGACACCAAATTAGAAAATCTTAAAAAAAATGTACGCACAATTTATAGCAGCCGTAAGTGTGGTAAGCAACTTTACAAAAATTTTAACAAAATCATGGCACGGTGACATAAGTGACAACAAAATATGTGGCAGCACCTTCAATCATGCCAGAAGAAATCGACCGTCGTGCAAGAAACATTGATTTTTATTAATTTGAATCGGAATCCTTACAATAAAATTATGTATGTATATAAAGTCCATAAAATATACCAATAAAAATTTGGTGCTTTTTCAAATTCAAAACTTGGCAATACTGCCTTTTGTTCGATGCTTCCTCTTTTTCTTGTCGAGTTCGTCTTGCGCTCTCATTCTGGTATTTTTTGACGTCACGGCCAGTTGCTCTCAGCTCGATTGGCGCAATCTTGTATTCTATCATTCTTGAGTGAACCCAAGGTACCGATGATCGATTGATTTAAAGGCGTCCCGCATTAGGGCTTCACGATGAAATCCTGTATTTTAGCTGATAAAAATTTTTACTATAGAAAAACTAGATAATCATGAAAGAAGAGGTCGTTGATTAGAGAAATTTCAGTCAGATGTTTCGAATTTTTTAATACTTTTGAGGTAATTATAGTTGAAAACCACATAGATGGTGTATTTTGGAACAAATCTTGTGTCATACCTTGCCAAAATTTGCTTGTAGACCAACCGTTTACGACCTTAGAGAATGCCATGCCATGCGTTTTCTTGTAATAGCAACGCTCGCCAGAAGCAGGTGTGATCTTACCTCTATGGCCGAGGAAAAAACTACACTGTCTGTGATGACACATTTGAACCTTTTCAATAGACATTTCGCCTGGCGTCCACCAAAAGCTTAACTGCACATTAGAGCATTAGGCCTATACTATAGTATGGAATAATGGCATGGTGGCCATCAAGTCAAAATACAAGTTACCTTATACTCCTAAATAAGGACCCAAGAACTGATTTTTTATGCATTTCGGGTGATTTAAGGATCACCCCAAACAAAGCGTAAGAGCTGATAAATAATTTGCCTGATAGAAAAAAACCCGTGCCGTCCCTTCGACGCTCAGAATAAAAACCAAGGGCGCGATGGAAAGATTGGCGGTTCGGCCACGCGTCTGTACTCCATACCAAAAAATCGACTACTCTGCCCCTAAAAGAAGAGAGTGGAAAACACCAGAATCGTGAAGAAGGTGGGTAATAAATTTTTACACGGATGCATCCAAGGTAGACCACAGGGTTGACTACGAAGTTTTTTCTAAAGAATTAAGACTGGAATTATCCGCCCGAATTCCGCACCACTGCAGCGTTTATCTGAGAAAATTTCTAGCTATAAAAAGTGTGGCAATGTACTCAATATACAATATATTATACATGCCGTAAAGAAGATTACGATTAAAATTTTGTCGAATAGCCAAGCGGCCATCAAATCAAGAATTCCTGGCAGCTCTTAATGATATTAGCACCGTCTTTAAGGCCAGCCGCATATGGGTCCCGGGACATGAAAGATATTGAAGGAAATCGCCGGGCCAATGAGGTAGCCAGGAAAGGTATCAAACTTCCACTCAAGAGGCCAATAAATCGTGGTTAGACGAAGGAAGTTGTACAATAACTAGGGTAGCCTGGAGGGCATTTCGATGGTCATGGCTTGTGTAACCGGTCATTGGCTATTTGGTAGGCATGCTTTGAGACTAGGAATATTCTCCCATGCATATTGCAGAAGTTGCAGAGATTAGGAAGAAAAATAAACAGTTCCGGACTTCTTCTGTAGCTGCCAAGCTTTAGCTAAGAGCAGAGATTTTTCTTACGGAACTATTCTGTGTAGGAATAAATTCTATTCCCTTGTGGAAGGGTATCGAGAGCAACTGCATATCATTATGTTTGACTAAGGAATTATGCCTCTTAGGGCCGTTTGCACCATGTCTAGTTAATTCTAACTCCCAGTTAAACATCTTTATCGACGTTATCGACACCCATCATATAACATGTGATCGATAAAGCAGTGGATGTGCTTAACTGAAGGATGTACCTCCAGTTAGCGTTAACTAGACATGGTGCAAACGGCCCTAAATCTATTTCTACTTCCGTTAGTAGACTTTTACCTCCTACCTTGTAGCGTTTTAAGCCAACTGTGCACTAGTGCAAGGTATTTGCTTGGAGGTACCTTTCGCGAATGGAGATAATGCAGCTTGTATTGTTCACTAGCTCAATGTGAAATCTTTACTCAAATACTCGTGGGCAGTGAAGATAATATCTTAAGCGCTTAAATCCACTTCCAATCGGTTACCAAATCACAAAGAAGTAATAGCTAAAATGTACTTTTGAAACTAAAATTCATTAGTGATGAAAGGACTGCGGTCGCGCAAGACATTCGCTCACTTTTACCATCCAAACCTCAGCCAATTATTTAACAACTCACTGCCTCAAGTCTCAAGTTACTGTTGCCGCTTTTAAACACTGACCCACCCAACTAATTAGCCCCGAAGCTAAGGCCTCTATAAATAACTGTCTATGTACCCAACAAACATCAATAAAATATTTCTCCAACCTTGGAGAAATTCATAGTTCTCAAGTTGATATCCAACATTATGCTCCAATTCATCTCTAATTATTTTACTTTCAGTACTTCAATGAAATGTTTAAGACCCATTGGAGAATCATGCTGGTGTTCAAGTGGAGAATCATGCTGGTGTTCAAGTCGAGAACCAGCTATTTCTCAACTTAAGAAACAGTCATTTTTGTTGAGAACGCTTTAATCCTCCACTTCAGGTACTGTTGAGAAACAACGTTGGAGATTTGAGAAATACCTTAGCTCTCAACGTAACCTCAAGTTGAGCTCAAACCTAAATGTTTGTTGGGTAGTTATAAATATGTACAAATAATAATAATAATTAAGTAAATGTAAAAAAAAAAAATATCGCTGTTGCTCGAAAGCGTCTACCGTTCACCGGCTACTTGCTCACAACATTCCACAATTGTGGTGCACTCAAACCAAATCAAATAGCTAAAAACAAATGCAGCCAATGCACTCAAATAACGGCAAATATTACTAGCAATCATATGCAACGATGCTAAAGTGTATTTGTATTGTATATTAAGATTACAACTATGTATGTGTAAAATTTACATTTGTATGTAGCGCTACTTAAGGCATATTTTCATACATTTTTAATGACTTGGTAATTCTAAAATTAATTTTTACCTTATTTTCACTGAAAATCAAATGCAAATTTTTTCGCAATTATTTTCAGCTGTTGTTGCTGCTTGCTGTTTGCTCGATTATGTTTTGTATTGTTTTTTTTTTTCTTTTGCTTCTTCTACATTTGCCAGTTGTCACTAGTTGAGAAAAATGAGATCGTCATATGCACAAAAGGCAAAAGTTGTAGACGTTACACTGGTGGCTCTTGTTGTTGGTTGGTTGACTGACTGGCTTGCTGGCTCACTGACTGTATGCTTGAGCGTTGTTATGGGATTTTTACTTTTTATTCTTGTTGTTTTTTGTTTGTATTTTTATATAAATTTTTTTTATTTTTATTATATCTCGGTGACGAACTTGTTCACTTTTCTTGCTTGTTCAGCGCGTTGTAACATCTATGTATGTATGTATGTGCATTTATTTGTTTATTTCACTTGTCGCTTTTTTCTTTGGAAAATAGTAATAATAATAAAAACACTTTTTCTGCTTATTACTGTTGTTGTTTTCGTGGTTATTATTCTTTGTTTACTTTTATGTATATGGTTCACACTGTATTTGTTGTCGTTTTTGTTATTTTTTTGTTTTTAGCGGGATTTGTTGTACAAATAATTTATTTGCCGCAAATAGACAGACACATACACACATATGTGATGTTTGTATCACACTCACTTCATTTGCGTTAATTTCACTGCTTCCTCTTCTACTTGCTCCGCTTAACAAAGTTGTTCTATTACTTTTGCCGCTTTTGCACTTTTACTTTCATTTGCTGATGCAATTATTTACTTGTTTTAGCTGGCAAATATTTTAATTTATAGACTGGAAAATATGTTATTTGGTCAGAATCGGCACTGTAATCATGCAGTAAAAATATTCGTTATTTTTCTGGTTTTAACTCTTTTTATATAGCTGTGGTCATATGGACCAGCACCTTAAGTCTTGAGGCTGGCTTTAGTATAATGCGCCATTATATTTATTTTTTAAACCGCAGGGAATTTGTTTGATAACATTAGATCAATTCCTTTCAGGTTTCTTCAATTTCTTGGCAATAACACATTATACTAAAGCCAGCCTCCCGACTTAAGCTACTTAATATTTCATTTGACCACAGATAATGTATGTTCATATTGAGAAAAAACTATAATTTTTTTCATTGAAAATTTTTTATATTTATTGTTTATTAGTACGCTATTAATTTTTCACATCAAAAACCTTTTGCCTAACCCTAAATACTTAACAGCTCGTAAAATTTGATTGATTAATAAAAAATTAGTTTAACCAAATTATAAATTATGTGCATTAAGGCGGGCAATTTTTCAATTTTAATGTTCGCGTATAGCTTAGGGTGGTTTCACGTGTAATTCTAAGAAAATTTGCCGAAGAAACCATGGCATGTTAAAAAATTGATTTTTGTTGCTTTAAAATATTCCCGTTTTGTTTTAATTTTTAATCATGCACAAAAAATAATCTGTAATTTTTTTTTAGTTTTAACATTTTTACATATCGAGCCCTAACCACTAAAAAACGTAAGCGACAAAATTTTCTTTTTGATGGCAGAAGTGCATCCAGATGCTACAGGAGCAAATTTTGCAACAAACAAAATTTTGAAAAACACAGTCACTTACGTGTTTTTTGGCGGAATGTACAAAAAAAAATATATTTTTTTAAGTATTTTTTTTTTAATTAGTTATCTATGAATTTTTACATTTAAAAACGTTTGCCTAACCTTTAAAAGTTTCTCGTGAAATATGACAAATTTTTTAAAATTTAATTTAAAAAAAATTCAACTAAATACCTTTTTAAATTCCTATTTAACTCTAATTATTAACTCTTCAAATATTTTTCTTATTTCGATGGTGCTGTGCAATGACAACGCAATTCGAATCCATGTCTAATCTAATTTATTTACTTTAGCAATCCTTGCTGCTTAGTTAAGTAAGGGATAGAAATGGACTAAATATAGTTCTTAGTTTTTCATATAAACACTTAAAAATCCTATTAAAAACAAAAAAAAAACCAAAACAAATACTTAAAAAAAATTTTAGTTTTATTTAAAAAGAAAAAAATTAAACTTTTTTTGCTAATTTGTGTTATGAAAACATATTTTTATAGATTTGCGGCATTTGTTTGAATTAATAAAAAAAAAGTACTATGATTAATTTAAAAAACTGAACTAACAAAAAAATAATTTTATGTAGGTACAATTTTTTTATTCAGAAAACCTTGGTAACCTTTAAATGTTATTTATGGTTTTTACAAACATTTTCATTATGTTTTATTTAAATTGTTCAGTAACTTTTTGAAAAAAAAAATTTAAATAGAGCTTATAAGGTATTTAAAAGTACTTTAAAAACTGAATATTAATATGGCTTAACAATTTTTTTTATATTTTTTTACTTAAAAACTGCTGATAGTTTTCGTATTGAATACAAAAAATGAAAATTTTAAGTTAATAAAACACAAAATTTTGTCCATTAAATCACATGAGTATTACAGTGCGTTTCCACTAACACAAAGAAGCACAAGTTTGACTCTGAATTTCAATTTGTAACTGTTTATACGATTTATCTCAATTTAAATATAAATTTTTTTTCCTTTGGCGAGTTGTAAATACAAGTTGAACTACTTTTAGCATTTACGACAAAAGTGCAGCTTATTTTTAATGAATATTTTATCAAATTTTACTTATTATGAACTACTTGTTTTCCTTCGGTTATTAGTACAAAATTCTTTTTGCTTCCAAACTATTTACAATTGATAAATTCTAGAATCGCGTTCAGGAAATGGATTAAAATTTTCTCCAATTCATTCAAATTGCGATTTGTTCGAAGACACATGGAATAGGTAATACATAGCATCAGAGCAAAAAAAACTGCGTATATTTTGTTATTGGTGTTGTACATTAAAACATCAAAAAAGTTAAAAAATTTACATTTTAGATTAAAATATGAATAGAAATGTCAATTCACAGACTAAACGCACAACAAATCTAATCAGCCACTCTGTTACCTATTGAGAACCGTATTGCGATTTAAGCTGAAATTGAAAATAATGTCTAGTTGCTCAATTAAAGGCGCGTGGAAACATACCAAAAATTTCGAATAGATATCGCCATATTACGAAAAAAAAAACTGGCTAATTATGCAAAAATAGGCGCAGCATATTCATAATGATGTCTGTCTTTTGATATTATTAGCAGAAAATTTTTCTTCCTTGCAAATTTACTCGTCAGCACTTTATATATCAACTTAAACTAGAAATTAACCATTTCTGGGGCAAATTAAAGAACCAATTTAAGACTTGGTGACAATACAGCTTTTTTATCTTTAAAATTGTTGTTTGACTGCACATGTATATATAAGATGATTCAATGGTTATGCATATCTTTCTTAATGCTTTTTGAATTTTTTACAGACAATTGGCAGGCTTTGGCACACTTACAGCCAGTTTCACCAAACTATTTAAGTGGAAATTAACTTTAATTTAATTTTTTATTTAAATCTCATTTTAATTATTTTCAGTTTCAATAAACTATTTATTTAAGTGAGTAAAAAGTGGTTGTAAAACAGACTAGGACTAGCTTTCGCTTTCATTTGTACTGAGAGCTTTTGAAAGCTTTGGCACGCGGTGTTGTAAAAGCAGGGCTGGTATACAAGTAAGCAGCAGATGCACAATGATCAGGTGATTAAACGTGTAACACCTCTGAGTGTGGTTATTCTGATTTAACTTTTATTTAAGTGCAGAGCATAGGTCACTTAAATCAAAATTAAAATTGATTGGTGGAACCGAAATTAAAGTAATTTTCACTTAAATAATTTGGTGAAACTGGCTGTTAGTCATGGAGCGATACTCAATTGAACAACACATACAAGTGACCCAAGCATTTTAGGACATTTTTTGTTCTACAAAAAGTGCGTAATTTTTTCGATCAAGATAACCGGCCATCTGAGTCAACAATGAGCCGTTTGGTGCAGAAATTCGTAGAAACATTGGTGCGTTTTCGTACTGTGCGTAAAGCAGAAAATATTGCTACTACGGAACAAAGTGTGGACCAGATCACGAAAACCTCAATTCGTCAACGTGCACGTTAACGTGACAGGATAAACAACTTTTTATGATCTGAACGGACTATCTGGTTTCAACAGGACGATGCCATTTGCCACACAGCGCATGAAACAATGACCTTATAGCGAACGAAGTTTCCAGATCTTACCAAACAATGAGGTCAAATGGTCGCCAAGATAATATGATTCGACAACATTGAAAAGTATGGTTTATGCTGAAGAACGCGTTATAAATGATATACAGCTCACACCTTGCCAGAAAGTCATGGAAAATTTTGAAATTCATATCCTGCGTTGCCAGAAGAGTTGTGATAGAGATTTAACGGATATTGTGCTTCATACATAAACATCGTAGATTACAAAACATGACGAAAAATAAAAATAGTAAATTAGACAAATTTTTTTGTGTTTTTTATAAAAGAAAATCTGCGGTCTTGTTGAATCATCCTATACATGTAAAGCATATTGTCTGATTTGATGTGAAATTTTTTATTTATTTCTAATTTATCATCACTTCTTTTATATGTAGTCCAGTTTGTTTTCAGCACAAAGATGTAACTTAATATAAAAAAGTGAAAATAAACATCCATTATTTTTTGTTTTAATTACCGTTGCAAAAAAGTTTTCGTTGAAGCTGCTGTTCTTTGTAAATTTTTTTTTGTTCGCTGGCGAGCGTATCTAGTTTAAAAAAAGCGAAAGCGTTAAGTTTGGTTTCAAATTTTCAAAACCCTTTTCTTGTTGTGGTTTTTTATAGTAAAGGCTTAAACAGTTTTTGTGAACAATAATCACTTTTTATTTAACACCAAAACTTCAACTTTTTCCCAATTTCAACAGAAATTACGTTGGTAGTTGGAAAATGAAATGCGCGCGTATTTCTCAATTTCACCTATTTTCTGTTTATTTTGCACACTTTTATACTCTTTTTTAATTTTTATATATTCTCTTACTTGTATACATATTTACACAGACACATGAAATTTCGCTTTGTTTACTTTAAAAACGCTTTAAATCGAGCGCTGTTCCAGCAGCTTCTTCTGTTCACTTCGAGTTGCAGCAAAATTTCAACCAAAATTTTATTTCGAATATTTTTTTGTTTGTTTTTGTTTTTCTGCAAACACCAGCTGGCGTAATCGTAGCGACTTTTTCGACTTCACGCTTATCTTGCTCTTGCAGCTAAACCAAACTGGCTTAGTTGTATTTTTCCAAAACAAAAACGAATTAACGCGGCGGAGGATGGGAAACACTGGCGGTTCTATTAGCGTTGGCTGGTTGGTAGAAGCGATAAAGCATAAATACTTTTTTCAATATTTTTGCTAATTTCAATTTCCCTCTTGCGGGTTGGAATTTTTTCTTTACAATTTTTGGTTCACACAAAAATTATTATTCACACGACGAGAACGCAACAAATATACGCAAAAAGCTGTGCAGTGCTCGGCGCCTGTTCACAGACTGATTTCATGTGCGGCAGCAGCGCGACGGATTGGGCAGCAAGCAGCAGGCAAAAGAAACCAGCCTGCAAGCAATAGAGCAAATATACTCAACGAGCGCTCTCTGACAGCAAGGCAGCACCACAAAAGAGGTGGCGAAAGCAGCCGCGACTGCCATGAGTGAGCAGCGAAACGGGCGATAAGTTAGTTGGGTACAGTGCTGCCAACTATTTTGGAGTAAAAAAATCCAGATTTTTATAAAAACCCGCCAGAAAAAGCTAAATTCCACAAAACAAAAGCCGAAGAATAAATAGGTTCATATTAATTTAATTTTAAGCAAATCATTGGAAACATTACTTGAAATTAAAATTTGAAATCGAATAATATAGAATACAAGTTATGTTTAAGCAAAAAATAAAATTCAATTCTCATATAAAAATTTAAGTGTACCGTTATTTTCTTCATGATCCAATGATCGGATGTAAACCAAATAAGTATGGGACCACATATGAGTTACCGCCTTTTCTTTAAAAAAATAATTATAGAAATCGGTTAACGTGGTCCAAAGTTATGCGGTGACATATGTACATAACAAAAATATATTGCAACGAATTGATGGAGGTTTCGAAGTCGGTTAAAAAGTTAATATAACTTATGTATGAAAATTTCAGTCGAACGTTATTTTTTAACTAAACTTTCAGTTTTCACAAAAGTTAGGCAGGTTACAACTCATTTATAATTTTATATAAATTATCATCGGACTGATTATTATAATCGATACTCTGGTTTTCGTATGCCTTATTTGTTCCAATCATCTTTAAATAACTTCTTGGAATTTCATAGTCTGTGCAGCACTTATTATGCCTTTTAAGACCGTATCTGGAAATTTATGTTATTTAATATAAAACTTCTACACGAGTTGTTTATAAAAATTGTACCTTATACTTAATATAGCATTTATAGTAATTAAGTGTATACTGTTGCGTAGCTTTGTTTTCACCAAGTTTAGCTGACTGAATAATCGTTCCACGTCTGCATTAGACCAAGGTAGTGAAAGTAAATGAAGTGCAAATTCCGCCAAATCGGAAAACAATTTGTTACCACCTGCATCCGTATAAGTTTGAACTTCTGCCCAAAATTGCATTGTATTGCTTATATTATTCCATTTTACAAAATTAATTCTATTATACTGAATTATAATTTTTTCTATCATATCATCACTGTAATTAAAATGTTTTAAAACATCTTCTATCTCCTCATGCGATGCACGTAAAACATTGCCCACTGAAAACATATTAACTTTTTTAATCGTATCGAAATTATCTGGTAACCTGCAATAATAACATTTTTCAAATAATTTTATATTAATACGTATGTATATGCGCATGTTACTATTATACCTTTGTTTTAGTTGGTTGATAAGCACTACTACAAAATTTGTACATATTGTTCTTATATATTTTTCTGATTCCTCGGTTAGCCCAGAGGAGGATTTCATCTCTAATATTTTCTTTTCGAAGTTATATCCCAAATAGCAACTTTTATTGATATATTGCTCAAAATCAATCGAGATTACATCAACATCATTATCTGGGCTAATGATTTTACTTTTTAAAGAATTAATTACAACTGCAAAGTCTTTAAGTAATTTCGTCGGGTCAGTATTGTTACTTTGAAAGCTATTATTAAGAGCAAGTAACTCGGCAAGTATTGGCCTCAAAAACAGAAGGTAGAGATAATTTCGTTCATCTTTATACATTTCGTACAGAATTTCTGCTTTATGACATTTTTCAGAATTGCTAGTAATACCAAAATGTGTCTTCAACTCCAGCCACTGCTGTAGTATTCGCGATACGGTCCCTTCAATTGAAAGCCATCGTGTGTCGCTAACTCTTGGAATTTTTAACGGCGCCTTGAAAACAAAAGATAATCAGGCAGGTTCTGCAATTCATTTCCGAGTGAATTTCAATCAAATTAGCGTTGAAGTCAAATTGACAGGGGTTGAAATTC